ACATTATGAATTTGCAATTAAAAGTAATAAAATGTAAATAACCAAATATACACAACTTACATATTTAAAAAAAATAATTATTAGAATACTATTTGAAAGACAAATAAAAAAATATCACATAACAAATTAATGTAATGAGATTATCATAATAAACAAGTCAAATGAAAACATTTTACTATATATTATAAAATTTAGAACTACACAAATTCCTTTTTGGTTTCTATTAACTTCCTTTCAGTTGTATTTATATCACAATGACTTGTTATTGTCCGATTAATTTCATACAAGTCAACAACTTTGCTTGATATTATCTATTCTTATCAAGAATATCATTCAATCACATATTCCTTCAAAAATATAAATCATTTAATTAAAATATTAAATGAAGGTGATTACTTATGCAAAGTGAAGTAACAAATGTTGAAAGTATTCACACCGGATGAGAAGAGAAATTCGGAGACGATTAATTTTAATATTCGCCAGGTACACGTACTATTCAATGAAACTGAATTAATGCGGTTGCGTTCTGTTTACCGTTCTTAAATGTAAACACTGATGGCGACGAGTTACTGTGTTTTTCAAATGTATTAAAACAAAGAAAATAACGAAAACAAGAAAAATTAACTTGTTACATGAAAATCCGACATCCATCAAAAGGTATATTTAATAAAAAACACGAAAAGTATATTGAATACTTACTATTAATGATATAATGTATGCAAACATGTACTTATACGCGTTTCTCGTCAATGTTCTACCACATGCTTAGATCTCGAAACTCTAATTACTTATATTTCAAAAACGATGCCAATCAGAAAATAAGAAACTGTATTATAAACTTTTTTGTCACGAAGATTTTGCAATTTTTCATTTGTCATGATTTTGTTGCACCTTTCTGGGATATTCCATACAAGTCTTGTAATCAATTACACAACTTCCAAAGTGTGTATAGTAGCATGAAATATGAAAGATGAGTAGATATTTGTCAATCGTGTAAGATTACTGTAGTTATCTGCTAACTAAAAACACCTCATATAACAAATATTGATATACATTACAGTACACTTCTTTTCGATTTCATGTAAAAGTAACCTGAATGAGTTATTAATGTATTTATATATTATATAAAATGTTCATACCTCACCAATAAGAGCATTTTGCCATACACGAAATAGCATTACATATGTTTTATCTCTTGCACCAAAAGATGTTAAAAAAAACTTGTCTGTGGCAGTTGATATTATCATTGCATTAGGAATAACAATGGCAGTTCTTTCTTTGGTAATAGATGTAACATCCTTCCAACGTAAAGATAATACGGTTTCCCAACTGAAGATATTTGCATAAAAGCATACATAATTTTGAGAAACATAAAGCCTTCCATGAACCAATATTTCACGTTGTAGTGCACATGAATAATCTAAAAATCACGCATCGTGATATATATTTAAAATTTATAATTCATAATATTATTAAATATAACCAATATTATTGTCAATAATAAATATATTTTATTACATAACAAGTCATTTTGCATTAAAACGTAAAATATTTCTACTGTTTCTGTATATATGAAAAAATGTTTGTGGAATAATATTTATTAAACTGTGTAACATTCTTTTCTTAGTATGTATCATGTTTATGAAATTTTTATTTGCAATTGGACTTTTTGTAATGAAACTTTATTTTCTCAGCAAATAAAATAAATATCAAGTTATATCTAATGATATTAAAAAATTGATGAAGAAAGCATAGAGTG